ACTCGTAATCTTTATACGAGTTTTAAGGGTTCGGCCGTTCATTGAGAGAACACAACGTTGAATGGGAATTAGGTTTGTGTCATAAATTATGACTCATAATGTACTAAATATTGAATAAAATTGACTGAAATAACAAGTCATAAAGAAGACAAATATTTTTGAATATTTCACTAAACATTTAAAATTATACAAATGAATGAATTGAGGTTTGTTTGACAATTTCATGTCAATATGTCTTAAGGCAATAAATAGATCCGTTATAAACAAGACTTACCACAAGCCATAAGAATGAGATACGTTATGGTCAACAATGATGTGACAATCGATAGCACGAAAAATATCTTCACTTGAATCTTGGACTTTGAAATATCAGTCTTCCTCTTGTGGGCAGTGATGACAGCCATAAGACCGGTCACCACAAAGATAGCGCCGCACCAAAGACCTGATCCGAGCAATGGTGGGGACGTCAAGACGACGCGTAACAAATTGATGACCGTTAAGACAATAAGAGTGGCGCCAATCAACGCATGCATTAACCCGAAGCCCAACAGCGCCTCTCCTGTCAGGTCTTTTCGGTAGTAAAACGAGGCCTTATTGTCGCGCAACGACTCCTGACTCGACGCCGGCAGACCTTTCAGCTTAATTATATAGATCTCCTCCATTACCACCGATGAGTGAGACTAATAATCATCTGAAAAATATGTGTAACACATAAGCAAACATTTATATGAGAGGCTCATTGAGAGCACAACAAACAAATTGTGAGTTTTTAGTTCAATATTTTTTTGCATTTTGAAATAAAAATTACATAAAAACGTGAGAAATTATTTTGCAAAAAAATATCGTATAAAATATAGTCTAAATATATACACACATAACGAAACAAACTTTAAATTTTTTGAGTTACGATTTGGTTTGCATTGCAATTCGTGGAGAAAATTAATAAATGAAGAATTGGAGCATTTTTTCAGACGTAAAAAATATAGTTTTTATAGATTTTTTTTGGATTTTATTGTTCCTCTTAATTATGCATTCAGTTGTTTGCACTTAAAAGATATTATTTATTATTATATTTGTATCACAAAAATAACACATTTCTTGATATATAAAAGATATAAAAGAAATAATCAATTCATGAAAAGCTGGAACTCGAGAGTTGAGGTGTAATTTGAATGCCTCTCAATGAATGTTCAAAGATATTGTGAGTATAGGTATTGTCTAGTATTTTGAGTCAAAAGCCTTTATTATCTATAATAAAGTTGACCCCAACTCTCAGGAAAAAACTTTCAAAGCCTTCAAATGGATCAATAAAATAAAGGAATAAAATATTTTATTGACTTATTGTATGGGCTTTTGCCGATATAACAGACAACTTATACACACAAAAGACAATGGCATTTAAAAGTATTGTATTTAATATTTTGTAGTCGTTTTTTCAATGTTAAAAAACATTACACACTGTACTGTACTTTACGGTGTTTTCGGGGAAAATATATTTTTAAACCAAACATTTAATTTCAGAGTCAAGAGTCCAAAAACAGCCCAACTTTCTCATCAACTTTTGCACAATATTTTTTACTATATCTGCGAAATGTTTTTCTCTCTACTTTTTTTTATCGAAATAACGATTCATAAGATAGCTATCACTTCAGATGACTTTCAAAGAGTCAGCTCTTCGTGTCTTATCTGTGGTTTAAAAGGAACTCGAGAGTTGAGGTGTAATTTGAATGCCTCTCAATGAATGTTCAAAGATATTGTGAGTATAGGTATTGTCTAGTATTTTGAGTCAAAAGCCTTTATTATCTATAATAAAGTTGACCCCAACTCTCAGGAAAAAACTTTCAAAGCCTTCAAATGGATCAATAAAATAAAGGAATAAAATATTTTATTGACTTATTGTATGGGCTTTTGCCGATAACAGACAACTTATACACACAAAAGACAATGGCATTTAAAAGTATTGTATTTAATATTTTGTGGCCGTTTTTTCAATGTTAAAAACACTACACACTGTACTGTACTTTACGGTGTTTTTGGGAAAAATGTATTTTTAAACCAAACATTTAATTTCAGAGTCAAGAGTCCAAAACAGCCCAACTTTCTCATCAACTTTTGCACAATATTTTTTTACTATATCTGCGAAATGTTTTTCTCTCTACTTTTTTTTATCGAAATAACGATTCATAAGATAGCTATCACTTCAGATGACTTTCAAAGAGTCAGCTCTTCGTGTCTTATCTGTGGTTTAAAAGTTTTTATTATTATTTTCTAAACACTTGAGTCGAGAGAGAACCTGATTTTTTCGCCCATTTCTACCGTTCTTTCAACTTAAACATAGAGTCGACTGTATTTTTGAGCCAAAATTATAATTTTCACGGCATTTACTCAACACAGGCCACACTGCCATCACATGCTATGCCATCAAATCAATTAATTTGTTTTGGTTGACCGTAATTTGTATTGAAATGCATGGCTAACTAAACTTATCATTTCCCTAAACTCTCTCGTGTTGTGTTCACTGGGCTTTCAAAAACGGTTTGCAGTAAATATTTTAACGTAAATTCAAATTCTTTCAATTGGTTCGCAAATAATATGAAAAGACATTGAGATATTTATGATGTTTTGTTTTACAAATACAGCACTTTTAATAACGACTACTAATAATATGCTATAATGGAAAGGAAGCAACAAAAAAACTCAATGAATTTATATTTACTATAATCTTAAGTATTATTTTTCTCTCTCTTTCTGTGAGTTTATTTGAGGTTAAGCTGTGGTTCGCTTTGATTGTCTCGTAAATGAAGAAAAGAAAAAAACATGCATTTTATGTGTGAATACGAGGGCAAAGCCAAAGAGTTGTGTAAAACATTTTTCTTCCTATAAGTTACTCGTAATCTTTATACGAGTTTTAAGGGTTCGGCCATTCATTGAGAGAACACAACTTGAATGAGAATCTCATCTATTATTGCATTCATTTCTCTCCTCTTCTTATCTCTCATTTTACTCGAAGGATATATTTTATGAGAAACTAATTATTGAACAAAACAATAATAAAGCAGTTAATCATTAATGAGATGATACTTTTTCCTCGTCTATTGTATTTTTGAAAAACACAAAATAGTATGAAAAACAATATTTTTTCGTGATTTGTATATTTTTTACATAACTTTACAGACATTTAAAATCTGATATCATTTAAAAACAATGTTTTATTTTCTCTGAAATTGTGATCGTTTTTATCTATAACTTATAGACTATAAGCAAAACAATTTGTGTAAAAAATCACTTTTATGGGACTTTTTAATGGCTGGGAAAATATTGTCCGATTATTTATCCGTTTTTGTGATAATCTATTAGTTTAACAGAGCGTTGAATATAACAAAAGTAATGCCTTTTTTCCATTTTATGGATTTATAGACAATTCAATTGAAAAAAATTATATTTTTACTAGAATTAATAAAACAGCACTTGGTAGTTATATTTTATTATATTGTAAATTTCCATTATATTGTATTTATAGAAAATAAATGGATAAAAATTTAATGATAAGTTTATATAACAGTTACTTTACCTTAAGTTCATATAAAGATTTTATTTAAAATTTAAATGTCATAAGCAGTGAAAAGTTTATAAATTGAGTAAAAATGTTAAAAACTTACATTTGTTGTCTATTATGAGAAAATTATACAATTTTATTAATTATTAACTTACTATGTATTAAGATATTGAAACACTAAATATAATATAACTTCATAATTAAGATACAGTTGTGTTTATTAGATTCTACGGTATTGTGAAAATCCAATTAAAATCTAGCTTTGATTGGTTTATGATTTTCACTTAAAACAACTAAATTTATTGAAAATATAAACAAAAATAAGTTCAAGAATTCAGAATAACCCGCAAAATAGGAGTCGACTATTTTTGTCGCTAATATATTTTTTATTAAAAAACACTTTGAAAACGACTTGAACTTCACATATATTTTTATGTGATTAAGAAATGAGTTTTTAAATTATACTCAAAAACAACTTAAATAATTCAGCCGTAAAAGACCTGTTAACCAATACTGTAGTTAAAAGTTACTATACTGTATACCCTCTGCACTGATAATGCATTTTATATGTGAAACACAACTGTATTTATAATCACAAGAATTTTCTCGCAATTGATATCAACTGATATTTGAGGAACAGTTGATATGAATATGAAATATAAATCTATTTAAAGTGTGTCTTTGAATCTCATTATGACTCCGGAGGTAATGTAGAAAACAATACAGTATTGTATCACTTGTTTATTGTCCGATATATTTATGAGAGAAATTCTGATTTACATATTGTTTGTAAGCTTTGGGCCGTCGGCAGAGCACCGGTATATTAAATATACAGTACAGCAGATTTCGCACATAATTTGTAACAAAAAGTGCATCATTTTGTGTTGAATTAAAATTACTGTTAGTTTTCTTACCACTAATTATAAATCAATAACAAAAGACAACTCAATTCACATGTTTCTCATTACTCTAGACTTGAATTTGTTGAAAGAAATATGTTATAAATAACTTTGACTTACTTTTCATATAAATTAAATGCATTGCAAATGATTGATGAATACTTTCAACAATACAATTAGTTGTTATAAAAATCCAATTATTAAATAAAACTCATTCGTTGCACAAATAAATATTAATTATTCAAATATTACGGGAAAATATATATTAAACTTTCAAATAAATTAATCCGCAAAAAGTATTGGTCACAAAATATATAACACTCGTCTAATGTACAATATATACATCTAATAACAATTGTCTAGTATTTGAAACGACATTGAATACCAATTGAAGTAATAGTTGTTGAAGATATCTATCACTTTAATTGAACTTAATATTGTGTAACAGAATATAACAAAACTCACTCTAACTACAAAAAGTACAGTACAATCCGTAAAATAATAAAATACTGTATAATACAGACACTGAAAAAGTAGCGCTTAAAAGGAATTGCAATTTCTTTAGCAAACGATTCAGTGGTTGTGATCGACAAGAGCTGAACGAATGAAATGTAAAATGCATTTCGAGTATTGAGGGCTAAAAACACAACACAAG